TTAACCCCTTTACTCCTTCCTTTTTTTTTTTTTTTTTTGTTTTTTTTTTTTTTTTTTTTTTTTTTTTTTTTTTTTTTTTCTGCTGCTTGGATCTGTTTCATGCAGCCCATTCTCATCTACCACCTTGTATTCCCTCCCATCCCATGGCTCAGCTGAGCTGCTTTTGGCGTGCCTTTAGAAGTTTGGGTTCTCATGTTAGGTATGCTCTGTTGTTAAACTCACAATAACAAGTAGTCATTTTCTCTAAGCTTGTGGTGGAAACTTCTAGGAGACAGTTCAGTGAAATGACACAAACTGGGGAGAGTTAGCAAGTTGTGGGTGCACGAGCATTTTCCTTTGACCTGCCTTAGTAATTGAGTTTCAGCATATCTTAGCTGACACAAGACCTGTAAGGCAGGTAGTTTTTCTAGTGGAACAGTGAGGAAGATTTATTTTCCAAATTATTCCTTTGTTGGACACTACTGTAACTGATGGGGGGAGTATGTTGACTTCCTCCAGCAGTGTGCTGACTGGGCAAGTGGGATGTGTTTTTTGCATATTCTCAGCACTAGTGCTGATTACAGTGGCATCGATGCCACCTGTAGGCAGTTATATTGATGACTTGTGCTCATTAGCAGATGGATAGCTAAAGATTGAAGCATTGAGGGTTTTAAAAATACTTAGAGAACATCATCAGGCAAACTCAAAAGATCCTTACCTACTAATGGGCCCAGGTTTAGAAGTTTATATTGTAAATTGGAGATGCACTAAATGTGCAAGAGCAGTAAAGGTGGGTAAATAGACATCTTCAGACATCCTGCCAACCCTCACGAGTTCCCTTGCAGCCCTTTTTGAACTCCTTTCATTTGGACTTAGACCAGATTTACAAGAGAGCCTCAAACTTCTGATGTGATTGAAGTAATGACGTGCTTGAGCCGAGGCTGCTGATGTGATGATGCTTTTTACTTGGGAGTGCTGCAACATCTCCCATGCTGCTTCTGCTGGCTGGACCCTTTCCATGTCCCACATTTGTTTCCCACCCTCTGGAATGACTTGGTGTGAGAAATCTTGGAGTGCTGTAAAGAGACCTTCAGTTGCTGCACTGTCTCGCTGTGGTTGGTGGTAGCACAGCTGAGCTGGAGCGTTGTGTGGAGGAACTAGGCCTGGCCTTCTGCAGAGACAGCTGCAATGCCACCAGCGCCGTCCTCTGAGAAAAGGGAGTGAGGAAGAGGAAGAGGGAAGATGGGGACAACACATTTTTTTTCCTGGCTGTTCAGTTTTGCAGCAATACCTCTATCCCACTTCATTGGATTGGGAGATGGAAGTACTAATTGGCATTTAACTTTTCAAATTGAGCAACTTTAAACGGTTTTGCGAGGTATATTAATGTGCAGGTGTGTGCTGACATCTGCAATCTCAAGATTTATTGCTCCTTTCTTGGAAGAAGTCAAATCCTTACCAAAACTGACTCTCTTCAAAATCATCTTTAGTCTGGCCTGTTCTTTTTTTTGGGGAGGGAATATAAAGACCAGCTATTCTCTTTCTAGAACTGACAACGAACTGAGTAGATGAGAGTATTGATTACTCATAAGGCCTTAGCTTGCTGCAAATTGACCATCATCTGGCTGTAAGGGTACTGTGGCACGTATATATCCTGCTTATGGGGACTTATTGGGTGCTAAGGGAAATGGATTCCATTTGAAAAGTGTGTTGTAGCTGTCCTGTAAAAGCAGGTGATACTTGTAAAGGCATGGCACAGCTTGGCCTGGCACGTGGCTGATTGCAGGTGGCTTGCTTCCTGGAGTCTTGTCCTTGAAACGCTCTCGCGGACTGTTGTGGAGAGTGCCAACTGGAGAAGATGCTGGGTTCGAATCAGCGGTGTTGAGGAAACAGTGCAGTAATTGATGCTTTTTAACTGTGTGGCTGGAGAAACAGAGCGGTACAGCTTGGCAGGGAGTGTCTGAACCATTCCACACATCTGAGAAAATAGGGTGACAAACTAAAAGCACTTGACCTTTCAAATAAATTTTTTTCATGTTGTAAACCGGTGGAACTTTGGTAGTTGTAAAATGCTTCCTATATCCTGACAAAAATGGAAGATGGACTTGCTTTTCCTTTTGTGCTAAGAGCCATGTCTCCTGGCGTTCTTCACTACGCTTTGGGAATTCTGAAGAACATATGTAGGAGGCTGGGCCTCTTCTATTTGACAGCTGATTCAACTGTCAAACCAGCCTTTGGATTTCTCCTAGAATGTCCCAGTAGTGACCACAAGAGCCCTGCTGTGCCGTGTCCTCTGTTTCTCACCAAGCTTTTTGTACTGTTTGCTGATACTAAACCTTTCTCACTGTTTCTCTTATCTTTAACAAATTACTCTCTCTTTGTGCTTCAGGGAAGATGGTGAAAAAAGTCTGTCCTTGCAACCAGCTCTGTAGTAATTATCTTATTTCTGTTATCTCCGATTCCTGATTGTAAAGCCTATTCTCCATCAGCTTTTTCTGGTCACTGAAGCCTTACCTCCCTGACTCTGTCTCCAGCACAGCATCTGTCTGTCTATGTAATGCCCTCTAATGTCTACTCCTGTCATTGGTATATGGAAGGGTCTGGTTATTACCCTGGCAGAGAAGTGGAGGCAGGGAGAACCTCACCTTCACTGGGGGACTTTGCTCATTGCTTAACGAGGGCGAATTGAGCATCAGGGTCAGCTGCTCCCTGTAACCTGCTGGGATGGTACCTCCGAGCAGCTGGTTTCTTTATAGATCTGATGGGGCTTCCCACCTCGGGGATGGATCCAATTGCAGATGCTCCTTCAACATTTTAAAAGAGTCAGAGTAAGCCATCAGAGCTCTCCAGCGTGTCTCCCAAAGCAAGAGATGTTTAGAAAAGCCTATGTGTGCTCATGTCATTAAACATGGTTTTTAAGGTGTCTTTTGACTGCTGCCTTATGGGGGAGAAAAAAAATCAAAGGGCAGAATGAAGGCATTCTAGGTAGCAGGCTGGAGAGGAAGAAGCTTGTTTCACTTCAGATCCTTCATGTCAGAGCAGAACTGGGGACGGCTGCTGTGACCGAGCAGGAATGTGGGGGGTTGTTTCCATTGAATGCTCCCAGTTGAAGCACTTCCTTCTCAGACTCTTCTGGATGGCAGTTTCTGCAGGTGGTGACGACAGCAGAGCTGAAACGTGGAATTCCCGAGGAGTCACTTTGAAAATTGGTGTTATGTGGGAGCTTTATAGTAGTAGTACAGCTCACCATTAATGGTGTAGGCTGGTGTGCCTCGGATCTGGGACCTGAGACAGGAGCTCCCTGGCAAAATCACTTCTTGGAGACAAAGCTCTCACAACCTCCCACCCTGAACCCATCTAGTCCTTTTCAAAATACCCAAACTTCCCAAAGTGATCTTTCTCATCTTTAGAAGAATGCACTATAGAGCGTATACCTTGATTAATTCTCTCCTTTCTGTGGCCTGAGGAAGCTCTCCAGTGCAGGCCCAGGATCCTGGGTTGTAAGCGGAGCGCTTACTGATTAAAGTGGAAATGTGAAATAGCAAAAGCAGATACTGGCCATCGTGAAGAGGATGAGAGCGAGTGTGTCAATCCCTGCATGAACCCTCACGGTGGAATGTGACTATTACTGGTTTTGGCAGCTCCACCAAGTACCTCTTTGTTGCTTTGGCCTCATTTGTGTTTAATTTCACCTTTCACATCATCGCTCATATTAAATAACTGTGTTTTGAGCCCTTTCCACACGATGCATGCTTGAGGTTCATGTTACTTCCCTGTGGGTTCTCCTCACCCCCTCACAGTGTGTTCCTAATACTCTTCCTCTGGGCTGCAGCTGCACACCCTGGTCAGGGAACCTTCCCCTTTCCTTTCCACGTGTAGCGTTGCATGTGCCTGCCTCTAACAACTGCTGCCCCACCTGTGGGCAACCAAAACCGGGAACCACTTCCATGCTTGAGCTGGAACTGGTGGGAGGGATCCGTGTCCTTCCCTCCTCAGCACTACCAGAGGCAGTAACACTTTGCTTATTTGTCCCACGTCGTAAGTACGTCACCTTCCTAATTCACTCCTCAATATGAAACATTCCTGCAGGGGTTTGGAGCCAGTTCTTTTTTTTTTTTTGGTGATGGTGGTTGCAAGGAACGTGGCTGGTGGCCAGAGAAAGTGGAACAGATGAAGTAGCTGTAAGGCAAGAGGCAGCAACTCCATCATTTGGCCTTTGCAATAGAGAGATGATTTTCATTGCTGGTATTTTTGATGTTCCACTTTTAATCGATTTTCTTCAGAAACGTCTGCCACAAACTCAGGTTTTCTTGGATTTCCCAGTTGTAGTCTTCCGAGTAGAAATGTTTGAGGAACTTGGAGGCCCAAGTAGGTGAAGTTGTGTGCTTGCAAGGAGTGCTGATTTTAGCACTGCAGTGGCCAGATTCTTATTTTGTTGTTTGACTTTGGACTAAATGGATTTGAAAAAAGTCTATTCATTCTGCCTTTAGTACGTCCTTCAGAAAAAGCCTGCCCTTTAGTTATCCATCACTTCTGCATCTGTAGATGAAGGTACTTTACAGTAGTGCTGGGAATGTAGGGGACTTGAGAATATACAGTTTCTTTGATTCCTGTGATGAGGTCTGCCTTTGGAAAACTAAAATTTGAGTGCAGTTGCTCATTTATAAGTGCGAGGGGGACAGTGAGGCTGTCTAGAACAAAGCTTCTAGGTTTCTTTTTTTCTACAGGATAACGTTTGGAGAAAGCTCTAGTGAAACCAAAGCCTGGTGTTTATGTGAAGGGTTTTTTTGTGTTCCTGCAATCCAGCCCAATGGAATAGGGGAGACTTGTCATAGCATGTCTGAGGAATTATTCTCATTTCTTCCTTCTTTAAGCTGTATTAGTTGTTTGCATCTGAAATGCTTGTTCTTCTGACATAGGAAATCTGAACATAATGGCAAAAAAATGCTTTCAGAGGCAAAACCCAAAAATCTAATGCAGTGCAGACTTCCCCTGCTGATCCTGGCTGTGTGGTGGATGAAGACAGTCCCATCTGGTTATCCTCAGGAACATAAGTATGGCAGCTATGGGAACCAACAGTTGCTGTTTCTCACTGTGGCTTTTTTTTTGTGTGTGTAATCTGGGTGAATTTTTCTCTTCGTTTTACAAAGCTGAGATAATTTGCTACAGAGCAGCTGGTGATGCTGATTGTACTGCTCCTGATTCAGCATCCAGCATTGTATCCCAAAGGAGAATTGACTTGTGCCAGTGGTGGTTGCTGCTAATTAAAAGGTGTAGGATGAGAGAATGACGTGACGGTAGTGGTCCTTCAGTGCTGAAATCTAATCTCCTTTTTCCTCTACAAAGACCTGTAGGTTGCTACCATTCCCCTCTTAAGATGACTACTTGCAGCACTTCTTGAAAAGTAAACATTTCTGTGAAATACTCTTAAATCTGAGAAAACGCCTGTAGGAGTCCTTGCAGTTCCCACTTCAGTGTGTCCTGGAATTGAAACTTAAAATTAATCTGCATGGCACTTTAACTGGCTCTCTATCGATGTACCATTGCCACAATTCTCAAATGTGCTGGAGGAAGAGGATCTTTCACCACCGTTCTGATTCCCCTTTTTTTGTGTTTGTAGGGACCAGCAGCACGAACACGGTCGGGGCCGCGGTGAACAGCCAAGCAGCCCAGGCTCAGCCTGCTGCCCTCGCCTCCAGCCGCAAAGGGACTTTCACAGATGACCTGCACAAGCTGGTAGATAACTGGGCCCGAGACGCCATGAACCTGTCTGGCAAGAAAGTTGGCAAAGGGCATAGCAGCTATGAGGTAAGATGCAACCCCTGAAGAAGCTTTGGGTGGTGTTGTCATCTCATTAGGATGTCAAATGCAGAGTAGTTGCTGTGGAGCTTGGAGAACTGCTATAGAAAACCCTGGGCTTTATGTGCAGGATTGTGTCACCTGCTAAGGAAGGGGAAAAGAGAACCAAAGAGGAGGAGGAGCATGGTGTGTTCTTGCAAACATCCATTGGGAATGGCTTATGGACCATGGGGTGAGGCTGTGGTTTCTAAGCACGGTTGCGTAACTCTTCTTGGGGGCTGGGTTTTCTTTTCAGGGCCCTGGAATGGCAAGAAAATTCTCGGCGCCGGGTCAGCTCTGTATCTCTATGACATCTTCCCTGGGTGCTACGCCCATCTCTGCATCATCAGCTACCTCTTTAGGTCCCTTCACCAAGGCCATGTGCCCCCCGCAGCAGTACGGTTACCCAGCAGCCTCTTTCGCCGCTCCGTGGAGCGGGACGAGCGGGCCAGCCCAGCCTCCCCTCAGCCAGTTCCAGCCCGTAGGTGCCACTTCTTTGCAAAGCTTCAACATCAGCAATTTGCAAAAATCCATCAGCAACCCTCCAGGCTCCAACCTGCGGACCACTTAACTGCGCCGGGGAGACCCTGCTGGCCTAGACCTCGGGGACGGGGACGTGGGGAGGGAGATGGGGGCCCTGTATCAACTCCTAGTGCTGCAATGAACTGGTAGCTTGCCAGACTGGGAATGAATTTTTCTCTTTTCCAACCATTGCTGTTAACTCTCTGTAAAGGGAGTTTCCCCACAGGCTTTTCAAGGGGGAGGAGGATGATGGGCATCCTTACGATGGGACGGCGCTTTTCACCCAGGGGTTCCGCTCTCGTGTGGCACGAGAGCTGTGAAGAGGAGTCACGGGGTCAGTTTAAGACGGTCTGGCTGTTAAAAAAAAATGTCTCTCTGGTTTGAGGCTGAATCCACAGGTGGTGAGGTGGGAGAGCTGAATCCTAGCATGAGGCTTTAGCACCCTTCTCATCTCTCCCAGAAGAACCAAGCCCAGGAGAAAAGCTGTCCCAATCCCCCTCCTCTCCCTCTCCCCCGGTCAATCCTTTATCTGGCTCCGAAAACGATGGGGCACACGAATGGACTTGCAGTGCAGCCCGTGCTTGATAGGTCATTACTGCTTTAAGTAAGATATTAACAGCTTTGACTGCAGCATTAGAGCAATTTAAATTGTTTAAAAAAATTTTTTAAAAGTTCCCTGCGGACATGTACTTACCATCAGTTTTGATGTGGAAACACTGTGATATATAAATGTTGTTGGACAACAGTAGTTTAAAAAAATGAGTGGAATATAGAGGGTTAAAAAAGTTAAAAAAGAAAAAACGGGAAAAAAAGCTAGCTATATCCTTATACTTATTGGAGACACTTTAACTTTTTCCTTTGTATTTTCATTGTATTAGATAAATAAATGTGAATGTAAAATTGTATAAATTAATGTACTTGAATACTTGTCTGTTCTCCCAGTATGCTTGCTGGATATTTTAGTGCCTTGGACTTCTCTTGCTTCTGCAGTTAGCATCGTCTTCCCAGCAGAGCCCCGGGTGGACAGAGGGCAAGTTCAGAGGAGGATGGAGAGGCTGGGTCCCCGGTGACCGGTGGGACGGCGGGAGTTGATGTAGCGCTACCGGTACCGTCTAGAGCAGGTTGTGGGGAGCTGGGGTGGTGGAACAACAACGTTCTGAACGTGGGGGGAGAAACTTGTCCAGGCGGGCAGATCTGAAGTTGCTGGTGTGACAGGGGCCAGGTGGGGGTGGGACCGGAGGGTTGGGGGTGAAGCTTCAAAACGAGACTTAACCGATATCGTCCGGGGAGGCAGGATGGGAGAGGGAGAGAGGATGGGGAGAACGTGTGTCTTTGGGAAAGGCCCAACTTAAGATGCAGTTTGACTCCACCTGCGAAGCTGGAAAGGTGTTTGGTCAGGATGTGGTTTGAGGGAGAGGTGCCATTGCTCGTTGGCGTGGGCTTGTCTGCTGGGATTGCTTTTCTTACCTTTTCTTTTTGTTTTTTTTTTTTTTGGTAAAATCCATTGAAACCAGGAATAGAGTGTCCTGGTGCAACGTCCATTGCCGGCAATGGATGTACTTGAAACAGCCGGCATCAAGAAGTTCCCTCCCTCGTTTGGAGGATTTACAATTTTTGTTCACTCTATTAACAAATTTCAAGCTGGTACCAGGACTGTAACTATCTGTCACCTCTCGGTAACTGTACTGTACCTTCTGCTTTGGTCGTTCTCCCTTTTCATATTTAAAAAAAAAAAAAAAGTAGTAAAATACTGGTTTCCTCTTCAAAGTAAAAAAAATAATACCAGCCAGTGTTTCTGTCGTGCTGCGAGAAGCTGGGAAGGAAGAGAGGACTCTGCCCCGGGGCGGTGGGAGTAGCTCACCGGGACCCTGGCAGCTGGGGCACCACTCGGATGTTACTTGCCTAAATATTAATTATTTTGGGGAGGGCTATTCCCCCGTGGAGCCTTAACAGGGAGGTTTTCTGTCTGCGGATGTTCTCACTCTTTTATTATTATTATTTTTTTTTACAAAGAAAGGCGCAAGATCTGTTGCTTTCCTGTCACTTGTTTTTGTTTTACAGCGGTGTTGGCAGGAAGGGCAGGTACGGGCTGGGGGGGAGGAAAGGCTGGCAGGGAGGTGGCCGGGCTCCCAGTTCCTCCAGTTTTGGGGGTTCATTCTTTGTAACCGAAGGGCAGAAGGAGAGAGGAGGCAGCGGGGGATCCCCGGGGCTCCTCCAGGATCCCCCAGGATGCAGGGGGGTGTCCCCAGTGCCAGGGGAGGGGGCAGCTCTGGGGACAGGGGGGGGTGACAGACCTGGGGCAGTAAGGAAGGACGGGGAGTGCTCCTGAGAGGGGACCCATTCAGCTGGATGCAGCAGCACGTGGTTATTTAATTTTGATCTACTAAGTTTGAGGTCGTTTTTTCACTTAATGTTATGCAAGAACTGGTTTTATTTACCATTGATTTATTATTATTTTTTTTTCCCCTCCTCCCCTCTCCTCCTGTGGATGAATAACTGAAGTCTAGAGGAATAAACTAATGCTACTGAACTGTTAAATTATTTTGTTTAATATTACACTTTGAGTATCTTTTTCCACATAAAATCTGTTTCTGAATTACAAGCGTTTTCTTTACATTATTTAACAATGTACACTGTAAAAAAAAAAAAAAAGAAATAAAAAAACCAATAAAATGAATTGAAACCTTGGGCTTCCCTGGCCGTAGTTAGTTGTATGTTTTGCACTGAACCCAGGCACTGCGCTTCCTGTACGATTGCGCTCTGTGCTGCAATTTGTTACCTTTGTAGAATATTTAACGAAGTCACTCAAATAAAACCAAACGGGCTTTTGTTGAGCTGTGGGTTTTCTTGGTGAACAGCAGGTGCCAACCGTCCTCTGCCTGGAGGGATCTCTTACCCCATTTGTGGGTTTATCAAGGGAAAGTACAAGAAACCCATTTTAATGAGACCCTTAACTTCTCAAAAGCAGTGGTTGATAATGAGGCACTATAAAGACTAATTATATAACCAGGTGCTATAAAGAAAAATTTACAATATGGATCTTCTCTGTGAGAGGAGGGGCCTGAGGGAGGAAGGCACAGGAGAAGGTTTTAGTTTCCATCTAAACATGAGGAGGAACTTCTTCACTTTGAGGGTGTCAGAGCCCTGGAAGAGGTTGCCCAGAGAGGTGGTGGAGTCTCCATCTCTGGAGACATTCAAAACCCACCTGGACAAGTTCCTGTGCAACCTGCTTTAGGAGGACCTGCTTTGGCAGGGGGTTGGACTAGAAGATCTCCAGAGGTCCCTTCCAACCCCACATCATTCTGTGTGAAGGGTAAGGTATGAGCTGTACGATTGCTTTTTATGGCTGGGACTGTCAAGAAGTTATGGAATAACAGAGAAAGCTCAGCTGTGACCGTCAAGAACTTGGTTGGTGGCTCCCCCTGTTTGAAGCACGGGTGGATGTCCCTGAGCAGGGGCTCTGTCCTGCCCTGTGGCAGTGAAGCTGGAGCAGGGGGTGCTGCAAGGGCTGGGGGAGCCCCTCTCCCAGGCAGGGAAGAGTCCTGCTCCTCTTCTCCTGGGGTGGAAGGGAGGAGGGGTGTGCACCTGCGGTGGTGGGGAGGAGAAACTTCTTAATGTAGATGTCCAACAGGAATTCCATCCCCAGCTTGGTGACAGGACCGGTGAAGAGTGGAGCTGCTTTACCAGGGTCTGTTCTCAAACGGCTGTGGACTTGCAGGAATCATTTGGTATTTCTAAACACTTAATTGCTGCTGCATTTCTTTCCATTTTAAGAACAGCTTCTGGTATGAGTCACGCTGCTCAGGGCCTTAAAGGAAAAAAAAAACAACAAACCAAACCCACAATGTCCAAGTGTAAGTTTTACTGCCCTTTTCCCAGGGACCAATCCTGAGAAACCGATTTCTCTGGGAGGAGGCTCCGTTTGCACTGTTTCTCCACAAGAGCCAAGAAAGCCCATGCACTTGTGTTTATAAGAGACTTCTAATTTTTTTTTTCCCTTGTAAAACTTTGGAATGGCTTTGAATCCAGTGATTGTGAATGTCTCTGCACATGCCCTTCCTCACAGGTATCTGATCTCCACAGTGAGCCTGTGACTCAGCCATGGGGTATGTATTCCCTGAGCCCTTCCTCCAGAGAGAAACTAGGACAGAAAGATGTAAAACTATTTTATATTAGTGTGGTGAGTAGGACTCGGGAGGTGATTGTCCTCCTGTACTGGGCACTGGTGAGGCCCCACCTTGAGTGCTGTGTCCAGTTTTGGGCCCCCTACCACAAAAAAAAATAGAGGTGCTGGAGCGGGTCCAGAGAAGGGCAACAAAGCTGGTGAGGGGTCTGGAGCACAAGTCTTATGAGGAGAGGCTGAGGGAGCTGGGGGTGTTCAGCCTGGAGAAGAGGAGGCTGAGGGGAGACCTTATTGCTCTGTACAACTCCCTGAAAGGAGGGTGTAGAGAGGTGGGGGTCGGTCTCTTCTCTCAAGTCACAGGACGAGAGGAAATGGCCTCAAGTTGCACCAGGGGAGGTTCAGGCTGGATAGTAGGAAAGATTTCTACACTGGAAGGGTTATCAAGCCTTGGAATGGGCTGCCCAGGGAAGTGGTTGAGGCACCATCCCTGGAGATATTTAAAAGACGGGTAGACATAGTACTTACTGACATGGTTTAGTGATGATTTTTGTCAGAGTTGGGTTGATGGTTGGACTAGATGATCTTGAAGATCCCTTCCAACCTAGATATTCTATGATTTTATTTTTTAAATGTAATCTATTACAGTTAATTGTAATTTGTCCTATCTCTCCATACTGAAGTCAATCCTTGTCCTTTGTGCTGTGGATAGGAGAGGCTCTTTAAGGAATAACAACCGATTAAGTGGTGAAGGTAAAGGACTAAATGCTGAATACCTCCAATGTACTGACATTGGGCTGCTTTAAGAGACTTGGCCAGAGAGACCAGTGATGCAAAGCACAGGAACAGGGTCCTGTTTCAAGTCTGACACTGATTTCAGGGTTGCACTAAGCAAAAGAGTTTGTGTAAATTTTCCTGGGCCAGCTCTAACTCTCAGTCATGTGGTATCATCCTCCTTGTCTCCAGCGCTGCATTTCTCAAAAATACTAAAAAAAAAAATAAATTTCAATCCAGTTTGAAACACTGCTTAAAAATTCTTCCTTTTACCTTGTTACTAGAAGGAACAGTGGTTGCTTTGCTCTAACCTTTAAAACCCACTTGAAGTTTTCTGTTGCCCACGTTAAGGCAAGCTCAGAGCTGTGCAGATGTGGTGGTGGTCTCTTCAGCTTGTCACTCGTCAGAATGAGTTCACCTTGAGCTTGTTAAACAGGAACCGAGTCATGTTTTGAAAGGGCACAGAGGCACGAACAGCTACAAGCGTGGCTTGTTTTTTTTTCAAATTTCATGTTTATTTTGCTACCGAAAAGGGTTGAAAGCTTATTTAAAACCAGAAAGTGCAGCTCCCGATCGTTTTTAGAAAGGGTGCAAGCAAACACGGCCTGAGGTGCCATGTCAAACTGCCTGGCAGTAGCCCCAGCGCTGAGGAAGGAGCTGAGGATGAGGAGGGACGGGCTCTGGCCCTGTCTGTGCAGCCGCAGGGCGAAGGGCTGGGCTGCACAGCAGAGGCAGCTTCACACCCTCAGCCGAGGGGAGACCACAGCGCGTCGGCTTTGGCAGCTGCCCAGAGCCCACCCTCTCTCCGTTTTACTAAAAAAAATAAAAATCTCTTTTCTCTGTGCTGATACAGAGAAAGAAGCTATGGATTGCATCTCGCTTTAAAGATTAATTCTGTTCCCATTTCAGGCAAATTAGGTGTAATGTTAGTTTGTGACACAGTCCAGGAGTCCCGTGCTGCAGAAGCACAAACGATTGCCTGTTTATAGAAAAAGGCATCTGAAACATGTAATAACCTCAAAGTACATCAGGTTCTTGCTGGCTGCATTAAACTCTTCTGTGTTGCTTCACCAGAATATATTGGAAAATTCATTAATGTGTTAGACTTCCTCGCATAATTTGACCAACCAACTGCAGCCTTCTGAGGTAACGTGGGGTGGAGGTGAGGGTACCACCAGGTGTCTTACGTGGGTTCAAGCCTCCTCTTCTTCAAGCTTTGACTTCTCCTGTGGGGGCTGCACCCTGCCAAAGCGGGGAGACAGGGAGAGATTCTTAAAGCTCTGTTTCTGCTTCTAAAAATGCTTCTCAATTCTTTTTTTGGCTCTTCCCTGATAGGACAGTGGGATGGAAAAACCAGAGGGTTCTCCTAGCCCACTCTCACAGCGGCTGCAGCCAGGTTCATGGAAGCAGGGTGTTTCTCCCACTCCAATTCACTGATGTAACAGCGCTGCTCAAAGCCAAGAGCTGTTGTGAAGACAGACCGTGGTTATATTTTTGGTGGCACGTACCTGGGCTGTTCTGGTTGGCACAGCTGCTGTGGATCACCATTGTAGCACCTGGCTGCAACTGGGCAAGTCTGGCAGAAGCTTTGTGGCAATTCATTCTGTGGGGTGTCCTGTTTCGGGTAGTCATTTGATGACGTCCACGGGGTGTTTCGGGTGTCCGGTGTCCAGCTGGTGGGTCTGCCATTTTATGACCCATTATCTTAAGATCAATGGTATCCAAGGGAATGTCCCAAAGTTCAGGATCATCTAGAATGAACAAAAAGGTGACCCAAAGATGACAGTAACCCCAGGACCAGCCCACTCTTTTCCTACAAGTGGTGGCCTCTACAAAAGTGAAACTGTAAAGCAATTCTTTTGTCTGTCCCTTGTGTCTGGGACTCGAGCAAGACTCAAGGGGTGTAAGTGTGACCCAAATGGCCACAGTTATGGTAAGAAAAGCCACCCCTCCTCCCAAAATGTTCTGTTTGTGTGTAGTATCACTCCAGAGAAAGGGGTTACTGAGTAACGACTCCACTGAAAAGCATAAGAGTGAAACCTCTCACAGTGAAGGACATCTTTTCCCTGCCACTCAAGCAAAATCTGTATTGGTAAGATCAGACTCATATTCCCACTTCAGTTATTCCAACCTCTTCAAAAACTTTACACTATATTCTGAAGAGTCCATTTAAATGGTAATGATTTAACACTCTGTCACTTAACACTTTTTGGCTGACCTGCAAAGAACTCCTCTTCTATTGGTAGTTCCTGCTGTACTACTGCTGGAGTGCTGTGCTTCACAGGAGGATCGGGTGTTGCTGGATGGAGAGAACACAAGAAGAAATTAATATTAGAAACACAGAAGAATCCTTTTGCTCCTCCTTAAAAGAGCACGAGTCTGAAACGATAAGCAGCAGCTGCCACCAGGTACCCTCTTTTTTCCTAGAGCTGGTTATTTTTTGGTAGCAGTATGTGGAAAGGTCAGATTCTGTACCCGATGATGGTTGATAAGAGCAACTGCACTACTTTAAACTGGTTTTTAGCCTGTTTACCCCGTCCCCACGTTCCTGCTGACCACACAGCTGACCAGGCTTCCCCAGGAGTAAAGAGCAATGTGTTAGTAGCTGATGCAATGTCTATTTGCAGGGAGGTGCTGCAGTCACAGCTCAGGTGCAGCACGTTCATGGTACTGACAACACCTGCTGTGCTGCACGAAGCTTTAGGGCTGTTGGAAAGTTGTTGTTTTAATGCTGTGGTTTTTGAGCTGACATTCCTGCCACTTTGGAACACGGAGAGGAAGAAGTACCATGATCCTCCTTCCTCTGCTCTTAAAGGTGTATTGACAGCACAGTGCAAAAGCAAATGAAACTGGTCAGGCTCCTGTATTGAGGGAAAGCCGTGCCTGTCAGCAGGTGTTGTTAAAATTGTCAGCTTTTAATGCCCAGACTCACCCTGTTTGCTGTCAGGAGTAACTACTGGGATCTGATGCTTTTTCTCCATCTGTTCCCGGAACTGTTGCTGTAGCTGCTTCTGTCGCAATTTCCGCTGGTAAGTGGCATCACACTCAATAGTTGCAGAGTCTGTATTTCTGCCCCCCTCCCAAGGAAGCACAAAGTTAAGCAGGATTCCAGCAATTACATTTTATGCAGAAAAAAATGCATAAAGAAATAACAGCAAGAAAAATCCACTAAAGTAGCATTTTATGGCATCCGAATTGGGCTGTCCATGTGTTTTAGGAGGCACAGTAACTTCTAATATACCTTATAAAATAAGTTTATTAATAGCAGTCTCACCTGGAGTTATTTGGCTGTTTCTGATTCACTGTCACTACAGCAGCCTCTGGCTGACCAGGGTTACAATGAGATGCCACCTCAGAATGTTGTCTCCCTCCTGCGGTCTGCCTTTCCAAACAGCTATTGTATCTTGCTTTTTCTACTTCAGGCTCATAGTCCTCTCTTTTAGTTTTGACCAAATCTAACTCAGGGGGTATCTAGTAAAGGAAAAAAAAAAAAAGAAAACGTATTCAGAAATTTTCTTCATCAAGTTAATGAAATAAGCACAGGGACTTGGACTAGATGATCTCTATGGTCCCTTCCAACTCTAAAAATTCAGTGAAATTCAGTACTGCTGAAAAATCTAGTTTGTTTGCTCTAGGTGGAACAGCAAAGTTAGAGAACTGACATGTGTTTTCAGTACAAAGTCGTTCAGTTAGTTAATCATTGAATTCATGCCACTTGGTGTCAGTTTAAGAGTTCAGTGCTTCAGGACAGATAGCCTGTACCTCCCCACACTGCTCTCTGCAAATGAGACCAGGTGATCAATGCTGAATTCTACAGCTTCTCTGGCAGTTCTTGCAAGTCTGTTGCTGAGCCCACTTCCATGCTTGTATTAAAGGGCATGGCAAACCTTTACTCGGCTCTGCAATCCATGAGGTCACAGAGGATAGTACACCATTCTCTCTTTAGTAAAGATTGGGATGGTTTAGCTCTGTGATTTTACAAATTTGTGGCAAAGCCATTCGTAGACAATGACCCTGGCAGAGTAGAGCTATGTACCATCTTTACTTGGCGAGGTGTCACTGAGGATCTGCGCCTACAGTCTAAGCTAGATAGATAGAACCTCCTTACAGCTCTAGGCTGCCTAGCAGAGTTTGCTACATCCCAGTATGATGAAGGCAACTTTACTATGAAACTCCAGAGCTCAGCAGCTGTAAAAGGCTTACTTTTTTCTCAATCAGCAAGTTAGGTCACCACCTAGAAGGCTACTGCCCCCAGCTGGTACACATCAGGAGATAACGAGATTGATGGTTACTGAAGTGCAACCTCAGCCACAGCTATGACAACTTTAATACTGTGAGCACTGCTGTGTTACAGCACAGCATACATAAAAATTGCAATTGCTCTGAAAGAATGAGGTTAAAGTATGGTTATCGCTGATGAAGATGTACTTCTGGTCTCTCTCTGGAGCAAAGACCTCCACAAGAGGCATTTCTCCATAGCGTTGGTTGCCTCAGAAGATTCATTGTCTGACCTAGATCTTCACAGAGTAAAAGTAACTGCAGATCTTCCCTTGCAAACTAAAAGCTAAGGAGGCAAGGAGTCTGAAAAGCAAAGCAAGATGTAATGTGGCTTCTTACTGTTCAGTAAGTAGAAGAACCAAATTATGGCAAGAAAAGTCAGTGTTAAAGTACACATCGGTTGTACGTGCTAGTTCTTCATACATTCAAGAGCCACAGTTTGCTAGTAATATCCTATCAGGCATTTAAAACAAAGAAATTGGAGTATAGATTTTTCTAATGTTATTCCTCATCCTCCAGCAGCCAAGTCCAGTACGTCCTGCTCTCATAATTCAGTTGCAGAATTCAGGTACCAACACATTCTTGAAGTCAAGCAGAGGATATCTGCAGGGCAATTTGTACACTCCTCATGTAGCAAAAAATAAATAAATAGTGTTACCTGTTTTGCTGTTCTGTGGTGAAACTTTGAAGTGACTGGCAACAGCTAAAAGTTGTTGTGGGTCCAGTCTGGAACAGTTTGGTTCCCCCTTTCTATCATAGATGCATCTGGTATTTTGCAGTGTTGTTTTGGGAAGGGTCCAATTTGCTTAACTGAAAGTTGAAGCCACCTTTAGAAACTACCTTTGCTTGAGACCTCAGTACAAAAACACTGGTACAAAGTACTTCTTGCTAACTATTCTAACAAGAAAAATAAGAGGTGAAATACAGGCACACCGAAAATTTTGTTACAAGGATGGTATTGAGTGTGTTTTCTATCTAGCTGTGATGTGCATTAGGGCCTGGTAAGAGTTTGAATAACAGTTAGTAAAAGGACAAAGCAACTATCGATTCATATATTGATACTGCTACTGTATGGATTTTGCTTAAAATTAAGTGAAAGTTCCAACTACAGCAAGCAGATTTGGTATGTAACCCACCTGGTATTTTTCCTAGGATTTCCTAGACTATGCATATTAAAAACTTTATTTGAAGGAAGAAGTCTTTCTCATGGAAGAACTTCCTATTTTCTGCCAGTGCTCCCTAAAATCTAAAGAACACTCCTCCTTCCTTCTGACCACTGGCTGAAGCATAAGCTTGAGAGACTTCAGGACTAAAAGAAATAGTCCTGATTTTGCAGAAATGCAGGGAAGCTGTACCTGCTTTAGGGTAGGATACACAGATAATAGATACACTGTCTGCCTTCTCTTCTGCCGTGCTGGCAGCCTCTGGTTTTATGACCTATTACAGCAATTAGAAATTGTGTCGTTGTATGCAGTTATTTCCCATCCTTTTTTTTTAAATTCCTGACAAAGTCCACTAATAAGAGGAATATGGCAAGTATGTTTGATTTTTTTAAAATTCATAATGGTAAACTAGATTGTGCTACCACTGACAATGAGAACAAAGTGAGTAATGTGTTCTGGTTTCTGCTTTATACAGGGCAAAAACATAGAGTAAAGAAACAAGCACGCTGCCTTGACACACTCTATTCTCCCAATAACTTCCATTTCACCTCTGTGATGAATATTTAACTTGAGGTATTGCTGATACACGTTTAAAGTAGAAGTGGCTAAATGAGAGCCCTGAACAGAGTTGCTGCAACAGGTAAAGATTAAACAGTCTTAAGAACTGCAGCACCTGGAGAAAATGGCACCTGGAACAAGCTGGTTTAAACAGTTTAGTGTTTCCTGGGATAACACTTAACCTCCTAAAGACAGATGTGTGTGTTACTGCCACTGAACAGAGAGACTCAGACAACACGGCCATAAATGTCACATGAAACCTTGTGTAGGATACTGTTTCTTCACCACAGTAACCTTACCTAGTGCAAATAGTTATAATTTAGGGTAGTTTAAGGCAAGATGTCGGGGAAGAACTCTGTAACAAACAGCTCACACAAACTAGCAGGCAAAGGCTGTTGGTCTCACAGCTGAAACATTCAGGGATGAGATGCATTGATATTATCATTTACAATCTTTTTAATCTGACATCTTGCAGTCCCTGCTCTCACAGCCCCTGTACCGCACCTGGCGTGGCAGCTTGTTGACGGCTCGCAGGTAGTCTTTGTCTAGGATGCAGTTCCCAAGAACATTCCCAAAGCACCTGAGAAACAAGAGAGCTCACTGTGACTGAAAATAACACTTCATTCTCACTTAACTTCTGAAAATTTACAAGTACTGATCTTTACTTACTTGAGTGCCCTCTTCAGTCCATCTGTTACTGCCTCCTTTCTTGCCTTTTCTAGGGACAAGGCCTTAGACTTTAGGCCTTCACTGACTCCATACCCCACATCTTCGTGGTATGATCCATCCTGCAGCAAAAAATTAAAAATAATAAGGGTAAGGGAATTTCTGCCCATACAGCACTTCTTGTTAGATGCTGTGCTTTCCTAAGCTTAAATACTCACTCTTAGCTGGTTGTTCTATAACTAGCTCAATGTTTTGGACACTGCTAGGTTCTCTGGTGTAGTACCATACTCTGGTGTAGTACCATACTCAAGAACCACAGCATTAACTTCCATTCACAGCTTTAGGCAATTCCTCAACAATAGATAGAGCAAACAAAAAAAAAAGTCCACTTACTTTAAGCTGAACTTTCACAAATGCACAGACCCCCACATAGAACCTGCCGTTGTTGAGGTCAACGAAGTCTGGAGGAAGGAAAAGTAACATCCTAAATAATGCAAAAGACTTCTGATCCACATTTAGATCATATACCATACTTGCTGAATGTGCCCAAGATACTGTACCATCTTCTATAAAATGGAGCATGACTTACAAAATATTAACTGTAGTTTGAAAATGCTGACTTGCATATATGCCCTGGGCATGGTACATGATACTTTCTGGGTTTTAGTGGCTCGACCTGCCAAACACACACACTCTGCTACTATGTGTATAAACATAAACATATGAAAGAAGGAAGAGTGGTAAATGTTGCTTCTCATTCAGCTACAAATCCTAAACGTTCAAAGCATAACGATTTTTTCATCTGGAAAGAAAGATGTAAAGTATCAATTTGTAAAGTATCAATTTATAAAAACAGCAATGGAAAAGAAGCTGTTGTCTGTAAAAGTCATTTCTTTCCTGTTATATACTAGAAGTACCATTTTCTAGAAGAAGTATTTTTCCAAAGGTTTCTACTGTAAAAAATCTCAGAACCAGGTATTGGCTGGAAGAAGAATCTGCAGAAAAAAGATGGGTCCCTGAAGATTAGGGAAATATTAACTGAGAATATTAACTTGTTAGAATAGGAAAATTACAGGTGAGTATGAAAGTTGGCTCAGGGGTGCTGGGTGTTAAATAGTTTAATTGTAATTACTCTTGACTGTAGTCACTGAGTGTTCCCATAGAGATCAGATGATAATTTGATTAGAATAGCTCAAGAATAATCATAAACACACTTTGAAAAATGACTATGACGTATTCCAGTGCAAGATCTACAAAGAAAACAGAAGCTCTATCCAGGCTGGATGGGGCTTTGAGCAACCTGCTCTAGTGGGTGGTATCCCTGCCCATGGCAGAGGGATTGGAACTCAGTGATCCTTAAGGTCTCTTCCAACTCTAACCATTCCATGATTCTATTGTCACTCAATTTCTCTCATTCTTACCAATTGCTAAGACACCTGGAAATTCCACATGCCTCCCCCCAGCTGGTTCTTCGAAGTCATCAAGTTCTAGGATAGATACCCTGGTCCTTAGGTGAGAGACTTTTCCTTCAGGGCCTCACAGTGAAACAAGAGGAAAGACTTCTTCATCCTCAAGAGATACTTACCAACATTCTGCTGAGTGACTGAATGAGCCCAGCCATTGAAGCCAAACATCTCATTGGCCAGACTGATTACCTTGTGACCCTCGATGTAACAGACCTGAAAAGAAAAGCATATATGCATCGATATATGCATATAAAAATACATACACATGTGCACGCATATATACATGCTTTATTTTAAAGAGGGATTACACACATCATTTTACACTGAGGAAACCCAGCTAAGTTCAAGGTTCCAATAATGTGAATAAAAGGATGATGACACAGCTTTAGGTTTACCCTCTTCCAGCTACTATGATGGGAGATGATTAATATGACAACAAATATCACTTAAGGCAGAGCTAGTGGGCACTAAAGAGAGTAAAATGCAGCCAATATATAATGCTTCAGATGTTCCAGTTCTGTGAAAAAATAAGAAAAGCATCTCAATGTTCCACAAGTAGATAAATATCCCCTTTATCAAGGACAAAGCACTGAAAAGTCAAGTCTTTTATACTTTAAAGTGTGAAAGGAACCCGTGGCTCAGTAAAAGCCAGAATTTGTGCTATGCTGACTTTGCTTTCATATCTGCACATTAAACTGCTAGTAGGTAATTAACTCCAAAAAAAAAAAAAGATTATTGTAATGTTATTTTACCCTAGTTTTCCTGGAAAAAACTGTGAATTGAAACATCTATGCATGTTTGTTCATACCTTTTGTCCTCCTCCAGCTTGCCGACTGCTGATGTATTCTGGACCCAGTCTCTGACGAAGAGCATGCTGGATAGCTTGGTATTCACTGGCTGTGTATTGATACTTGACAAAAATAAGGTAAGACAAAGCTTCTCAGTCTCCCTGTTATAAATGCCCCTCTTCTCCTAATATCACTTCTTTATCTCCTTTTTTTCCCATGTACAGTTCTTCCAGGATCCATTTTTTGAATCAGGATGTAACAGACAAGGAAAGACCTCAGGGTGTGTGTATATTACATTTATGTGTTATATTGGTGGTTTTTTTCTCTTACTCTTGAAGCATATGTATACAAGCATTAACTGTTGAGCTGTAGCAACTCTTTTTCCTTTCTCATAACCCCCACTTACATTACAAGAACTGAGGTGGGCCAGGCCTACTAGTATCCTATGGAAATCAGTCACAATCCTAGGCAAAAAGTTGCCAAGAATGCACATATAAACATTTATTTTACCTCTGAAAGATTTATGCATGTATTGGCTGCCCTATCATTCAGTAGAACACAGAATTCAATAGTGATCACCATATGAATTGCAGAGCCTGCAAAACCTCTCTAATTTGTATTTGGTGCTATTTAAACTTAAAGGGATAACTTTGTCTTTTTCTGACACTAAAATGTAAGCCTGTAACAAAAAGGCAGAAGGAAAAAGGGAGAGTGCACATGCCTATGCCATATTCAGGAGCTGTGTATAAATGCCTATCATGGAGAAGAGAATTCGACACCAAAAGTTCTGTTCAATCCAGATCTGGTTTTCTCTTTTAAACTTTAAACATTATTTTTAATAGATTAAAGTAGTTGGCTTTTCTGAACCAGCATTAAGAATGTGTGTAAGCATGATCCAGGTCATCTGGGAATAAGAGAGAATAAAGTCATCCATTTTTAAAGGAAGAAAATTAAAAACCCTTTTTGTGAACAATCTAGAGCAATTTCTTATATCTTGAAGCATGCCAAGACTATCATGGAGGAAGAATGTAATGTACAATTAGGTATAGCATAGCTAAGGTAACGGATGTGACTCCAGTGGGAGCACAAAACTTCTATTTCCCTCTCAGGCAAAAGGCACTGACCTGTCCGAAGCAAGAAACTGCATTGCTGGTGCTGGAACTATTGCTGCTGATGTGGTTTTCGCTCTCTTTCCCTTGACTTTCAGGCATCCTAAAGATAAAATACAAACACTGAAGAGAACAGACTTAACAGTCTTTAGGAAGACAGGCCAAAAAGCTGTTCAAGTCCACAATGCGCAATGAGTATAACAATATTCTGTAATGATGTCTTGGCCATAACAGTAATATCATACTTCTCATTCTACGGAACTGCTGCAGCCCCAACTGGAAATTTGTTTTCTGATGTTGTTTCAGAACCATCAAAACTTTTCTTCTCAAATATATTATAAACAATGTCTTGAGTCCCGATTCTAAACACTAAACTCGTAACAAATGGTATCTCTTTTTTCCTTTTAGATAGAATGGTGCAATGCATTCATATTTAAGTAAAGAAAAACAAAATAATTCCCCCTTTCAGATTCTCCAGCACTGCCTTCCTAGATCACTTTGAATATCCATTAGTGTTTTGACTCAAAAAGCAGAGGCAACTTTCTAAACTTTTCTTTGTCTATACCCTGACTTATCAGTCTTTATTTTAGATTGTTTTGACTGTAATCACACTGTCTTGTGGTATGATGGATGTGGTATGTGATGGTATGATATAAACTATGCAGAGTTGAAAACTATACAGAACCTGCAAGAATGTTAAGAAGTTGTACTGATAATTCAGTAGATGGCACCCTTTTCCAAGCCAGTACCCAACAACTACCCCTTGTTTCATTACCACTCCACTCTGCTGCTGGAGAACTGGTTTTGCCTGAGCAGAGCTCCTAAAAAGCCCATAGAGGCAATGTCTTGTTGTATTGCACAAATGTATTTGGTAGTCTCTCACTAAGACTTTTGTATGCAATACAAATATAAGACCACTCAATATACATACAAGACAACTGGAGGTGTCAAAACAGTTTGAGAAAGTCTAAAATTCTCAGTAGATAACGTTATTTGACAGTCAGAATCTGGCTATGTTTTTCTCCTGTACCCCAGGTTCAGCACTTGTTTTAAAACAAGTTGGTTTCCTGGTCTCTAAAAAGGAAGCCAAAGTTTACTGAGAACTTCACAAACAATTTTCAGATAAAAGGATACTAGTTGTTTCATTGGCAGGTACGAGCACTGCGAATCATGCTAGGTGTAGCTAAAAGTCCAAAAGTTGTATAATTATACAGTGTTTATATATTTTAATGTGTTCCACTCAAAAATTTGCTGCAATTTGTTGCAAATACATTTGGGTTTGGAAGAGAAGAGATAGAAAGTAATATTACCAGGAGATACACTTGTGATTTAAGCAGGGTATTGCCCCTGTTAAGCAAAGAGTCCATTGCATCCTGAGAGAGACCATTAGGGAGGAAAAAGTAGTATCTGTGGTGAGTGGCAGAGGCCATCAAAGTGTGAACAATACTATTCTCTCCTCAATATCCCCTACCCCCTCACCCTCCACGCAGCCTAAATAAGATCTTAATTGTTATAAAGGCCCTGGAGAAAAAAAAACAATGCACAAAATATGTATATTTGCCTACACAGCCCTATTACCAGTTTGCCACAAATGTTTATGTACAACAGGTGGGTGGCATTTTGAAACAAAATTGCTTTAACTGAAACCAGAATTAAACACTTTAAATTTTTATATGGTGTGCACCATTGTGTGTCTAAATTCTCCAAAGAGATAAACCTTTAATGAAGCTCTGAATGAGAGCAAGGAAGTACAGAATTCTGCTGAAAACAGCTTCACGTCATCGTTTTAATCCAACAGATCAGATGCTGCTAGAGAACGCTAGCAATGTACTTCTTGGCAATAAACAGTTTAAAAACATGTCAGTGGTTTGTATTCAAATTATATATTACTCTACAGCTTGTGTGAAGGAGGCAGATGATGCCAGTTTAGTTTCAGGCTTTGCCTGTAGGAACAGTTTGCTTCTGCTGTGAGCCTTGTTTAAACCAAACATTCTATTAAAGCAGTGTGGTGGGATGTTTTGTTTTTGTTTTTTTTTTTCCATCAGTGAAGCGCGGCACAGCAAAGCCCTGTGTCTCAAAGCAACTGTCAGAGCATTTCAAAGTGACAGAACTTCCATTTCAAAATTATTAGAGTAGAAGTTTGGAAGACAGAAAAGTTAATTCTGCAAATGGAGTTATAAATCCACCTCAATATCAGAGCCAGGAACTAGGGAAGGCAAGGAGCTGCCATTCCTCAGTAGAGTATTGTTTTCTCACCCCTCCTCTCCCCACAACGTTGTAACTCACATGAAACATTAATACTGAGGTAGATAATAAGCTATTGACTAGAGTACAAAAGAGCCTCAAACACCCTCCAGGGCCAGGTAGGAGACTGCCTGACTCATCAACTGGTGGTAAAAAAGCCGCATTTTCAACCCATCTTGAAATACTAAAAATTAAAGTTAAAATACATTGGCTCTGTATGCAAGATGATAAAAGCAGTTTATTAGTTTAAAGACACCTAGGAATTATAATTTATTACCTCTGTGATTCTGACCATTATTTACAGGAAATTCTTTTCAGTTTATCTGGTAATATTCTCAGAAAATTTTCTTGTCACTGAGAAAAAACACAGTGTTTTTAATCCTGAATTTAATCTGTTCAAGTACAACTACTGTAGGTTATGGCAGCAACACCTTTGCCTTCCATGATAGTATAAGGCTAACATCTAATTTTCTAAACTAACACATCCTCACACACCTTTCTACCTTACTGTCCATTACCCCAAAAAGAGATTTTGGTCCTAAATCACCTCTTTTCTCATCAGTTCCTCTCTGTCGTGACAAACTAGGTTTTTGAACAATGCACTGTGCCTTAATCCTGCATTAGGAATTTCGATTCCCAGTTCTCTTCACACGTAAGGTAAAAGCTGGCGGTTTTGCATCGCTTCAAAATAGTTTGCATACCATGAATTGTGTAAGTACCACAACTTGGGAAATGCTCAGCTAGAAGCGTTTCCCAAAAGAACATGGCTGTTTCAAGAAATTAATTGTAACAATCTAAGATATGACTTTAACGCAGGCTGAACTTTTACAGGGCTTTTCCTTCAACGCCATCCTTCTCTATATGGTAAGTTTCCTTCACAGTGAAGCTTTGGTTTGCTGAGTAAAAATCTTTAACATTCTTTCAATAAATGCAATTCCACTGAGCCCACCAAGAACAAACAGCTACGCATGTAACAACGAGTGATTTAACAAGCACTAAAGATAACACCACATATTTAACCTAAGGTTCACATTGCTCTAACATACAAAAAAACTTTAAAAGTTTCATATTTCTATAGAGTATTCTCTCCTCTGGGAACTCCAAACTATTTTATAAGTTGATTAACCTGTTATGCAAAGGCTGCTTTACCTAACACTGAGCTCAGGAGTACATCTTTTAAGTATAATGGGGCAGATGTTTCTAATCAAGACAGGCCTGTGCTATACCACAATTTAAAAAGAGTGGAAATAGTTAATGACATTGCCGTGGAGAAACTGTATACAATATAACTCTTTAGTTTTGACTTCTGATAATATTTTTAGGCAAGCAATGATGTGAGAAAAGCAAGGTTCTGTTACCTTCATCAGAAGAAAAAGATAATAGTGTTTTATAGGTTAAAAACCAAAATGTGCCAGGAAGTCAGGAGACTGGATGTCTGTTGTAGACTAAAAGTGGCCTCTGATGCTTGCCAATATCATACCCGTCCACCTTATTGGTATTGATTCAGGCCACATTCTGTAGCAAGAGAATAAAAAGGTATAATATAGAAAGTTTCAGCTACCTGCAATAGTTTAATTGCTTTCATGGTATGCAAACACTACTACACCAATTTCTTCCCAGTTACAGCGTGTCAGGCTTGACATACTTTCAGTCATACTTATTTCAGTGGAATCTATATATGTGGCTCCAAAAGCATTTAACCCTTAGATTTATCAGGCAGCATTATGTTTACTTTCGCTATGTCTAGGATGATGATACTCTCCCTGCATTACACAGAAAATGCTAATTTTGGTTATATTTTTCACTAATTAACATTTTTAATGAACACAGTGTAAAGCTCTTTCTTCCTTATCTTCATACAAGCTTAGCAGAATACCACACTGCATTTGTGGGAGAGTATTTCTATTTAAGAATGTTTGAATACATCCAGCATCTGAACTGAAGCCTATCCTGCATATTTGGAACATGGGACAAGAAACTCATCTCCTTATTAATTATGCTGAGTTTTCTGTCATAACAACCTTTATACAATTGTCACAAATTCATCGAACATCAATATATCTATTGAAAGTTGTTTTAGGACCTTGCTTCCCCAGCAATTACAAATCTAATTCCAGTCCAAATTTATTAGTTTAACACGTTGCTGTGTTTTAGACTGCATATTTTTCGAATTTTGCTGGTTACTCCTCCAAACATGTTCCTTAATAGCAGCGTTACGTGTAAATTACTTCTCCCCTACACCATTTTGTTCACTGTTTTAACATTCACTACCCATTGTCACTTTTGCCTTAAAAAAGGCTCACAAAGTTTCATGAGTTAAAAATACATCAATAGCACCTTATGAAGTGGATCACTCCAAACAATTCTAAATTTGAAATACATTTGTTTTCTAAGAATATAAATCCTACTTAATTTATTGCATTACTTAATTTCTTTGCATTAATTGACAATTCTGTATAGAAAAAGTTTCATTAAAAGGATTAACTGGTACTGCTTCACAAATAATCTTGCAATTATGTTATAAAAAAAATATCCCTATAACGACAAATAATGAGCTAGGTTTGTAGTAAAAGGTGCTCTGTTTTGTTGCACAAAGGGGTAAAACTGAAGGAAAAGAGAAACAACTTGTTGGGCTACAAGGTGTGAAACAGTAACACCCCTGTGTTACAAAACCAAAAAGTGAACAATCCGCTCTTGAACAACTAGTTTTACATTTATAAAGGCGGAGTAAAAAAAAACAACCAAAGAGCTTGTTCTGGAGACCAGACCTGGCAGAAATATTACTCAAATATCATAAATTATTTATGTGGGTACTTCTTTCTAAAAGCCTGTCAGATTGATTTATAACCACATCATTTATGTATAAGCCACTTTAGTCATTGCAAAGAAAAAAGAGCAGGCTTTTTAACTCAAGAGTAATGGTTTGGGACTTAAAGGGAAAGGCAGTCTGTCCAATTGTAATTGTAGAAAGCCTGTAGTTTTGCCAAATGCAATTACTAGGCAAGAAATTAATCCAGGCTGGAATTTAAAACATCTGAACTCTGTAAGAGCTGTGGGAGATCTGTCAAACTGCAGATCATAAAAAACATTGTGATTACAGGCACAGATGACACTTATGGCAGCAAGACCATATTAAGCTGACACGCTAATTATGTTACCACGAAAAACCTACGGCTCTCAAGATCTCTGTTTTTCTGTTTTGCTCCACTGTTTATTTTTAAATGGAAAATCATTCACATTTGAAATTGACAGAATGCTTCAGGCATAGGCAAGCCTGTATCTATTTACATCCTTCTGCTTTTTTAGACAGCCATGTAAAGTATTCTTTTTGGGGATACTTCAGGCTTGACAGAAGGGCTTGTATATTACAGCATGCACTCACCTGCTTATATTATTTTTCAGGAATTACATTAAAATGGATTCTTTGCTTCTATGGTTCAGGCAATTGGGACCTCTATGCCAGCTATGAGAGATCTGTCAACTGTGAGAGGTATGAATTACTGTATTTGTTGCAACAAGATATTAATTTTATTAGTGATAATTTATATGTCATTAACTAACTGTGTCGTTCCTTGTAAAGTCTTTACAGATCTATCTAACTGGCTATAACCTCTCACTTTAGTCCCCCCTGGGACTAATGGCGAAGGAACTCAATGTTGGTTTTGGCTATTTGCGCACGTAAAAATAAAAAAATATCGAACTAGAAAGATTCCTGAGCAGGCCGTTTGCTCTTCTTCTAAGCAGCAGCATTTATCTTCTGAGGAAGAAGCTTTTGCCCAAGGTAAGCCTGCCTGGCAGCGGCGGGGCTGCCTGTCCCAGCTTTGGCAGTGCCTGGGTGGCAATCCCACACCTTTAGAATCATAGAATCGTCTAGGTTGGAAGAGACCCTTGGGATCATCGAGTCCAACCATCTACCCTACTCTACAAAGTTCTCCCCTACACCATGTCCCTTAGCACTGCATCTAAACGTCCCTTAAACACAGCCAGGGATGGTGACTCCACCACCTCCCTGGGCAGCCTGTTCCAATGCCCTATCACTCTTTTGGTGAAAAATTCTTTCCTAATGTTCAATCTAAACCTACCCTGTTGGAGCTTGAAGCCATTCCCTCTCGTTCTGTCACTAATTACCTGTGAGAAGAGACCAGCACCAACCTCTCTACAGTGTCCTTTCAAGTAGTTGTAGAGAGTGATGAGGTCTCCCCTCAGCCTCCTCTTCCTCATACTAAACAGTCCCAACTCCCTCAGCCGCTCCTCATACGATTTGTTTTCCAGCCCCCTCACCAGCTTCGTTGCCCTCCTCTGCACTCGCTCCAGCACCTCGATATCTCTCTTGGATTGAGGTGCCCAAAACTGGACACAATACTCGAGGTGTGGCCTCACCAGTGTTGAGTACAGGGGCACAATCACCTCCCTACTTCTGCTGGTCACACTATTTTTGATACAAGCCAGAATGCCATTGGCTTTCTTGGCCCCCTGGGCACACTGCCGGCTCATATTCAGCCGTTTGTCACCTAGAACCCCCAGGTCTCTTTCCTCCAGGCAGCTTTCCAGCCACACTTCCCCGAGCCTGTAGCACTGCATGGGGCTATTGTGGCCCAAGTGCAGGACCTTGCACTTGCCCTTGTTGAAACTCATTCCATTGGCATTGGCCCAGTGATCCAATCTATCTAGATCCTCTTGCAAAGCTTCCCTATCCTCCTGGGAGTCAACTCCTGCTTAACTTGGTGTCATCTGCAAACTTGCTGATGTTACACCTTATGTCCTTATCGAGATCATCAATAAAGACGTTAAACAGAAATGGTCCCAACAGGGACAGGAGGTGGGTTTTATTTTTTAACCCGAGGGGTGTCGCGCTGCCCCAACCCCTTCCCCCTCGTTCGGGGGCGGGGGAGGCCCAAAACGTTGGTAGCTCCAAACGCGGGCTCGCCGCGTTCATGGAGGGGCCCGGAGCCTCGCCGGGGGCCGGGACAGTCGGAGACCCACCGGGAAGAAGGCGGGTAGGCCAGGAGCGATGAGTCCCCCCTCAGAAGGCCCTCCCCCTCCCGCCGCTTCTTCCTCCCCGCTCCGGGCCGGCGCCGCCAACGGTTTCCCCCTCTGAGGGAGCGCGCGCCCTTGCCCCGCCGGGCGGGCCGATGTGAGGGGCTGGCTCCGCTGCCACTAGGGGAAGGTGAAAGGAGAGGAGAGCTGCCTGTCCTGCCCGCCCGCCCGGTGGGGTGCCCCGCTGTACCTGGGCCTCGGTGGGGGAAGCGGGGGGACAGGCCCGCCTCCCTTGCTCCAGCGGCGGTTCCCAGTTTCCCGCCCGGCGAGGAAGAGGAGGAGGGAGGGGGCGGGGTGAGGAGCGGCCGCTACGGCAAGGGAGAGGAGTCAAACTTCCTCCGGCCGCGGTAAGGCGGTGACGCAGCGCCGGGGCTGCCCGAGGCCACGCCCCCCCCCCTCTCACTCCCTCCCGGGGGAGGAGGAGGGAGAGGGAAACCCGGCTCGCGAC